TTATTCTTACCAGAGGTCCTTGTCTGCCCCCGTGAGGATCCACAGAATCGGTGAGTCCCTCCAGAGAATTCTCCGGGGCCAGCCAAGGGAGTCGCCGACTCAGGTGTTCCTGCAGCCAGACAGAGATTGTCCCATCTGAGTTGCCAAAACTGATACCAAAATGTTGGCAAGAAAACCCTCTAACACTTAGTTTGAAGTTTTAGAAGGCAGGCATTCTTTATTGCAGTGCTGGGCAGCACTGGGGATTGCTCCACCATGAGTGCTCCAACGGGTTAGTAAAGCACATCAGTTCATATACAGAAAAATCATACATATTTATCAGATTTCCTGGAAAGGGCAGTCTTATGGTGATGAGTTCCCGGAATTCATTTACATAGTCCAAGCATGCGCAGTAAAATTAGGGTTGGGGTCTTTTCACCCTCAGGTGGTCGTCCATAGTCTTCCTCATGCTGTCTGCTAGTTGAACTTTGGGCTTCCTTTGTCCATATATAGTCATTGAATTAGCTCATCAGTCTTTCGGCCTCGGAATGGTACAAGGGGGTCAGTTTAAACCAGTTCTTTGGTGCTTATCTCGGCCCAAATGTCCTGACTTCCTTTTATCAGGAAGCCTAATGAGCTTGCTCAAGGTCTGTTTAATCTTGTCAGGCAAGAAGTTACATGTTTAAGGTCTTAGCCAGTGATTGTCAGATATTTAACCCTTTCAATACTAGATCTTACCTAGTTTTGTTACTTTGTACATTACAGTATACAGAGGTTTGGGATTAATCAATGAAGTCATGAAGTATTTAGGGAAGATCGCTGTTACTTATGTTTCCATTGCACTTTTGCAGTATTCCTATTCTTCTTACTGCCTATCCATTCCTCAAAGTCCTATCCCACCAAAGATATGTCCCCAATGACACACCATAATGGAACTCTGTAAGAGTTATAACAGAGTGGAAATGTTCTCAGTGTTTGGTGGAATTAATTCCAATGCACAGCATTCTATTCTGGATACACATATTTAGGTCTCACTTTGCAATTATGCTCGTTTTCCACTGAAGTCAGGATTTATAGCATTTTGAAAAGAAAGACAAGTGTTTCCATTTTAAGGGTTTTTTTAATCACTGGTAATGAAACTGGCTGGACTTTCTCAGCTTCCAAGAAGGTTAGAGTGGGTCTTATAGAAGCAGAAACCACTGTCATCTGTTTGTAAGTGCATGAATGTTTGGGAGTAATGTGGTTGTTCTTCTAGCATATAGCTGCTAGTTTCTGAATGAGACAAACTTCCTAACAGCAGCTCTCTCCTGAGTAATGGAAAAGCCTAGAGGACAAAGTCCATTGAAACAGTAGTCATTTGTCAGAAGTTTGACTGTAGCATTGATAACAGCAACCTGCAAGTTACCTAGATAGGGCTTTCTTTGAATCAAAATTGCCTTGATGCCTCTTAAATGTTGAGTTTTAGGCTGCAGTAATTATGGAATTTCTGGAAATCATTGAGTCGTGATAGGAAGCTTGGTGTTAATATATTTTCAGAATTCACTGAATGGCATTTCTATAAAAACAAAACAAAAAAACTCCCCAAACCAACCAAACAGGGAAAAACAAAACAAAACAAACCCCTGCCTCTTTCCTTCTCCTTTCCTTGTTTTTCTTGCAGAATTTTCTAATGCAAAAGATCATTTCTGAACCATGGAGGTGCTGCAGTGTGATGGCTGTGATTTCCGAGCTCCATCCTATGAAGACCTAAAAGCTCACATTCAGGATGTTCATACTGCTTTTCTGCAGCCAACAGATGTCTCTGAGGAAAACCCTAGCCAGCCAAGGTCTGGCTCCATGAATGCTAGCAACCAGACTGAGATTGAATTTTCTTCTGTAAAGGATGAATTTACAATTGCAGATGAAATAGCAGGTAAACCTCAACCCTAAGCCCCATCTCACATGTGACTTATTTCAGTGCATTTTAATTGGTATGTTTCAGTGTGATTTTTAAAAACTATCTTTATCACTATGGTAGTGAAGTGAATGACGTTTAGTTACAGACATTTTTTCTGTAAATGCAAACATGTGTGGATTTTTTTGTCTTGCTATTTTTCACATGCTTCTTCATATTGCCTCTTTTCCTTGCTTTACACCACCATGAGCTCTAGAAGAGTTTTGGACTTATTAGTGTACCTTTTTATTTCAAGAAGCTTATTTTGGAAATTGTCTATCCCAAATTATGTACCATCTGTTAGTTTTCTGACCATTCTCATATGCACAGGTCTAATCATAAATAATTGATGGAATTCCGGTGTTATTAATGTGTTCAAGATGTGTGTGTATCCATATGCTTACAGGATAGATGGGGGGGGACTGTCTAATTTTACTTATTTACATATTTATTTTTAATTCTTATTGTAGGGCAAAATACAACTCAGATGGGGACTGGAAGTTATTATAGCCAGAGCCAAAGTTTTTATGGTCAACATATGGCTCCAAATCCTAAACCAACCAAGTTTTTCCAGTGCAAATTCTGTGTGCGTTACTTCCGATCTAAAAACCTCCTCTTAGAGCACACTCGCAAGGTTCATGGAGCAGAAGTTGGGGGGACCTCAGTAGGGTCACGCACTGCTGGATCCTTAAATTACAACATCCTGATGCACGAGGGGTTTGGCAAAGTTTTCTCTTGCCAGTTCTGCACCTACAAATCACCAAGGCGCGCAAGGATTATTAAACACCAGAAAATGTATCACAAAAACAATCTGAAGGAGAGTTTAACTCCTACTGCTACCTCTGTTGTATCTGAATTGGCATCTGCCTCTGTGCCAGTGCAGGAACCCTGCAAGGAATTGCCTGCAGAGGTGGTAGAACGGAGCATTTTGGAGTCCATGGTCAAGCCTCTAACAAAGTCCAGAGGCAACTTTTGCTGTGAATGGTGCAGTTACCAGACACCTCGAAGGGAGCGCTGGTGTGACCATATGATGAAGAAGCACCGCAGCATGGTAAAAATACTGTCAAATTTGAGGCAGGAACAAGACAGAACCAGTGCGCCTGATATGCAGAGTAAGAGTGCCCAGAATGCCTCCCCAAACTCTAATTATATCTCTATGAATATGACAGGACATGATATGTTGAATGCTGATGTCTCAAACTTCAGAAGCTCTACGGGCAGTTCCCTTATCAGGCCTGACTCTTCTATATCCTCTAAGTTTTCTTCTGTGTCTTATCCTCAAATGAAGTCTAAATTACCTCACAACTCGGGCATAGTTAATTTGTCTGACAGATCCCGCTATGGAGTTGCTGACATGACAAATTCTTCTGCTGACTTGGAAACAAACAGTATGCTAAATAACTCCAGCTCAGACGAAGAGCTAAATGAAGTGGACAGCGAGAATGGCTTGAACTCTGTGGACCACCAGACTTCAGGAATATCTGCAGAGCAACTGATGGGATCTGATGGCAACAAACTGTTGGAAACGAAAGGGATTCCCTTTAGAAGATACATGAACAGGTTCCAATGTCCTTTTTGCCCTTTCCTCACAATGCACCGCCGAAGCATCTCCCGTCACATTGAGAATATCCACCTGTCTGGGAAGACAACTGTATACAAATGTGATGAATGCCCTTTTACCTGTAAGAGTTCATTAAAGCTTGGAGCTCATAGGCAATGTCATGCAGGTACAACATCAGACTGGGACACTGTGAATTCTGAGAGCGAAAACATTGTCTCCTCTTTGAATGACAACACGATTTCTTATGAAAGTGGAAATACAAATGGAGGGAAGTCAGCTGGGATGATGGAAACAGTGCAGCAGCAACAGCAGCAGTTGCCTCAACCCCATTCACAGCATCCTTATAGGTGCACAATGTGTAACTATTCTACCACTACTTTGAAAGGCCTCAGAGTTCATCAGCAGCACAAGCACTCATTTTGTGACAACTTACCAAAATATGATGGACTGCCATCCAACATGCCACAAGAGAGTGAGGCAGATGCTCTCACCTCTGTCAGCACAGTGAAGAAAAGCCAGACCTCAATTCTTGGTCTTTCGTCTAAAAATAACTTTGTTGCTAAGGTCACTCGGAAGGTGTCAAATGACTGCCCTTTGGATCTCTCACCAGTGAAGAAAAGAACTAGAATTGATGAAATAGCAAGCAACCTGCAGAGCAAAATAAACCAAAACAAACAGCAAGAAGATGCTGTGATTAATGTAGAGGATGATGAGGAAGAGGAGGAAGACGAGGTGGAGATAGAAGTGGAATTAGACAGAGAAGAACAAACAGAACCAATGGTGGAGGTTTCTAGTTCTTATGCACCCCAGCAAATGTGGGGGAGAGAGACTAATGATTCTCAGAAGGATACAAACTTGCATCATGATTATAATTCCACCAATGGAGCAGAGATCGAGCTTACTTTATCTGAAGATGAGGAAGATTATTTTTCTTCCATTAACATGAAAGATCAACAGAGCCCTAATGCCCCTGTTCTGGGAAGCCAGCCAAATATGTATGGCCCTGATCAGAACAATGAAAATGTGGAGATTAATGACTCTGGTAGGCTTTACTATTGTAAACACTGTGATTTTAGCAACAAATCTGCCAGGAGTGTTAGCACCCATTACCAACGGATGCACCCCTACATAAAATTCAGCTTTAGGTATATCTTGGATCCCAATGATCACAGTGCAGTATACAGATGCCTTGAGTGTTATATCGACTATACGAACTTTGAAGACCTGCAGCAACACTATGGAGAGCATCACCCTGAAGCTATGAATGTATTGAACTCTGATCACTCGGATCTTATCTACCGCTGTCGCTTCTGTTCTTACACTAGCCCAAATGTTAGAAGCCTGATGCCACATTACCAAAGAATGCATCCAACAGTGAAAATTAACAATGCAATGATATTTTCAAGCTATGTTGTTGAGCAGCAAGAGGGGCTAAACACAGAGTCCCAGACACTGAGAGAGATCTTGAATTCTGCTCCAAAAACTATGTCAACCTCCACCCCTGTGGCTCATGGGACTACTATGTCAGCAAGTTTTAACAAAAGTGCCACAAAGAGTTTTAGTCCTCAATGTGAAAATCAGAAGGCACCTTCGGTCAATTCTCTGGTTGTTTATGACTGTGATGTGTGCTCATTTGCAAGCCCTAACATGCATTCAGTTCTGGTGCATTACCAGAAAAAACACCCTGAAGAAAAAGCATCATATTTCAGAATTCAGAAGACCATGCATATAGCTTCTGTTGACAGGGGCTCTGCCTTGGCTCAAATGTCTTTTGAGATGGGGATGTCTGTCTCCTCAAAACTGTCCAACTTGGCTTCTCAACCAACACCTCCCCCACCACTGCCCCCAGACCTTGCTCCTGAACTCTACTATTGCAAACACTGTTCATACAGCAACCGTTCAGTTGTGGGAGTGCTTGTCCACTACCAGAAAAGGCATCCAGAAATAAAGGTCACTGCCAAGTACATCAGGCAGGCACCCCCTACTGCAGCAATGATGAAGGCTGGTGAGCTGCCACCTGGGATTCAGAAACTGCCAGTGTCAGTGCAGCAGTTGAGCCGGGGCAGTTCCGAGTGCTCCGTGAATCCCCTTGAGAATGAAATGTTCTTCTGCCAGCACTGCGATTATGGAAACCGGACCGTGAAAGGTGTGCTCATTCATTATCAAAAGAAGCATCGTGATTTCAAAGCCAATGCAGATGTGATTAGGCAGCATACAGCCACCATTAGAAGCCTTTGTGATCACAACCAGAAGAAATCATCTGGCAGCCTGCCTGCTCACACCTCCAGAACTGAACAGAACAAGACAAAGCCGAGAGCCCTCAAATGTAGGCAGTGTAGCTACACATCGCCTTATTTCTATGCGTTGAGGAAGCATATTAAGAAAGACCACCCGAATCTGAAGGCCACGGTCACGTCCATTCTAAGATGGGCATTTTTGGATGGCTTGATAGAAGCTGGTTATCACTGTGAATGGTGCATTTATTCACATATGGAACCAAATGGTTTGCTTGTGCATTACCAAAGGAGACATCCTGAACATTATGTTGACTATACATATATGGCAGCTAAACTCTGGGCAGGTCCGGATCCTTCCCCTCCTACCCTAGTGATGCCAACAGAGGCAAAGACCTATAAATGCAGAGACTGCATTTTTGAAGCATCTTCCATTTGGGATATTACTAATCACTACCAGGCTTTTCACCCTTGGGCTATGAATGGGGATGAATCTGTATTGTTAGATATCATTAAGGAGAAAGATGCTACTGAGAAAATTGGCACACAGCTTAATGAAGTTAGGGCCAGGATTAATTCTGAAAACCAGGTAGCATCACAGATGGACCAGGATGTGGAGGACCCCAGCCTTTCCCAGGAAAAAACTATTCAGCTGGCTTCTGCAAACCCTTCCATCTCCTTCACTCCATATCAGTGTACAGTTTGCCAGTCTGAGTACAATAACTTGCATGGCCTCCTGACACATTATGGCAAAAAGCATCCTGGCATGAAAGTGAAAGCTGCTGACTTTGCACAGGACATAGACATTAACCCAGGGGCTGTGTACAAGTGCAGACATTGCCCATACATTAACACTCGCATTCATGGTGTCCTCACACATTACCAGAAACGGCACCCATCAGTAAAGGTCACTGCTGAAGACTTTGTGCATGATGTAGAACAGTCAAAAGACATTGCCCAGAATGACATGGAAGAGACGAGTAGGATTTTCAAGCAAGGTTATGGTGCATACCGGTGCAAACTATGCCCTTACACCCATGGCACACTAGAGAAGCTCAAAATTCACTATGAGAAATATCATAATCAGCCTGAATTTGATGTTTTTGCTCAGTCACTGCCAAATGTGTCTGCCTCAGTGGAGCCAGACATGGTAGCTGAAATCAAGGCCTCCCCAGAAATTGCTGATGATGGTGTTGGAGAAGTCTCTATCTCAGCACCTCATTTCCCCAGTTCTCACTTATTGTCTCACACAGTGTTCCGGTGTCAACTCTGCAAATACTTCTGTTCTACCCGGAAGGGGATAGCCAGGCACTACCGCATCAAACATAATAACGTTCGGGCACAACCAGAAGGCAAGAACAACCTCTTCAAGTGTGCTTTGTGTTCCTACACCAACCCTATCCGCAAAGGGCTTGCAGCACACTACCAGAAAAGGCATGACATTGATGCTTACTACACTCATTGTTTAGCAGCCTCCAGGACAGTAAGCGACAAACCCAATAAAGTGATCATTCCATCTCCTCCCAAAGATGACACTCCTCAGTTAAGTGAGGAGCTGAGGAGGGCTGTGGAAAAGAAGAAATGCTCGCTTTGTTCCTTTCAATCGTTTAGCAAAAAAGGTATTGTGTCCCACTACATGAAGCGTCACCCTGGTGTTTTCCCTAAGAAGCAGCATGCGAGCAAGCTGGGGGGTTACTTTACTGCTGTGTATGCTGATGAACATGAAAAGTCAACTCCAGCTGAGGAAAGGAATGACTTTGAAAAGCCTGAGGTGGAGAGCGAGGCTCAGGAAACTGAGTGGCTTCCCTTCAGATGCATAAAATGTTTCAAGCTGTCCTTCAGCACAGCAGAGCTGCTGTGCATGCATTACACTGATCACCACAGCAAGGATTTGAAGAGAGACTTTACCATACTGGGAAGTGGCACCTGCTCTCATAATGCTGTCTACCAGTGCAAGCACTGTGATACTAAATTGCATAGCACAGCAGAGCTGACCTCACACTTGAATCGTCACAATGAGGAATTCCAGAAGCGTGCCAAACGTCAGGAGAGGAGGAAACAGCTTTTGAGCAAGCAGAAATATGCAGATGGTACTTTTACAGATTTCAAACAAGAGAGGGTAAGGGTCTGTGTGTCTGGTCTCCTCTGCTTCCTCTCCCCAGGGAGAAAAACAAACCAAAAGCTGTTCTTCTGTATCCCAAGAGGCTCCTTATTGCTAATACCCACCTGCATGTTCTCTTTGACAGCCAAATGAACGCAGGTTAATGAGTAACTCAGCATGTCAATGGGCTCTATAAGTCGGTTACATACTCTGCTTTAATTTCCTTCATTCTCTACCTATTCCTAGGCTCCATGGGAAGCTCTGCTTCTTCCAACTGTTTCCTTCAGGATTTTCCCTATCTTTCTTCCTTCCTCCCACCCTTATGGATGGCTATCTGTACCTGACATTTATTCTTATATTGCAAGGGTGCTGTTTGCTTTCTCATAGATTCTTTAGCAAATGTCCCATTCTACTGCTCATCAACGTACCTTGAAATAACACACCAATTTCCTTCCCAAGCTTATCTATTTCAGTACATTTTCTGATAAAGAATCTGATGCTTATGTGCATCTATCCAATAACTTCAAGCTTTGGGTAAGTGTTCCTGTGAACAGAAGACCAAATTCTGCTACTCTTTTCTGTACCCTTCTCCTCATCTGGAGTAACTACTTGCTGTAGAAAAGCATATAATTGGGCAGGGGGGGAACCATGAAGGAGCATGGCTTGGTCTTGTAAGTTAAAAATGAACAGTCTTATAGGGGACTACTATTATGCAGAAACTCAAGGTTTTTCCTGTGCACATCCTGTCCACCTATTTTGAGGGCTTTAATACAAGTCAGTGCAAATTGAGGCTGAAGTTTTGCACAATAGCACGTTGTAGTGGGTTGACCTTGGCTGGACACCAGGTGCCCTCCGAGCCGCTCTATTACTCCCCCCCTCAGCAGGACGGGGGGGGAAGAAAATAAGATGGAAAAAACCTCATGGTCAAGATAAAGGCAGTTTAATAAAGCAAAAGCAAAGGCCACGTGCAGAAACAAAGGAAAACAAAGGATTTATTCTCTACTTCCCATCAGCAGGTGATGTCCAGACACTTCCCAGGAAGTAGGGCTTCAGTACATGTAGCAGTTGCCCCAGAAGACAAACGTCGTAATAATGAATCCCCCCCCCCCCCCTTCCCTTCTCTTAGCTTTTATTGCTGAGCTGACATCATATGGTATGGAATATCCCTTTGGTCAGTTTGGGTCAGCTGTCCTGGCTCTCTGTCCCCTCCTGAGATCTTGCCCACCCCCAGCCGGGGGGAGGGGGCATGTTGTAGGAGAGAGCCTTGATGCTGTGCCAGCACTGCCAGCCGGTAGCCAAAACACTGGTGTGTTATCAACACCTTTCTAGCTAACAATACAAAGCACAGCACTGAGGGCTGCTATGGAGAAAATTAACTCCATCTCAGCCAGACCCACGCATGTGTACACTAAATGCAATTTTGCTTAAGGTGCAAAATCTGGTCTGGGTATATTCCTAAAAGTGAGATATCAGAAGAATATTTCAGTATTACATTAGTATAACTGATTAATACTCATGTGCTTGAATAGGCTTTTGGACATTTGGAAGATGCTTCAAAACTTAAGGAGAGGAAAGTAGTTGGCTACAAATGTAAATTTTGTGTGGAAGTTCATCCAACGCTTCGAGCCATCTGTAATCATCTGCGTAAGCATGTCCAGTATGGGAATGTTTCTTCTGTGTCAGCTACAGTAAAGGTGAGAATTCTGTGAACTGACAGCATTTTTTGTTTGATATTAAGGCCTAACTGAAAGCCCGTAGAGGGCTCCCATGGAGTCAAATGGATTTTGGATTGAATATTCTGAACAGTTAAGCATGACATTCTAATCTAATTCTTCAGGTTTCTGCAGCACATTTTGTTTATTTTAAGATGTTTTGACTTTCTTCTGCTCTTCATCTGGGGCACAAAAAATATTTAATTCTCATTTCTTAATTTGCCACAAAGGAATTGATATCACGGATGACTGAAAGGCTTGATTTATGAGCAGGAGCTTCTCCCTCAGCTGTTCTGGGCTACTTTTCTGCTTTCTTAGACCCTTGAAGTGTGGGGTTTCTTTCTTTTTTTTTTTTTCTCCAACCCATATGCAAAAGTGAAATTATAGTGCTGCAAATACATATTCAAATAGCCAGCTGAGCCAGGGGTCCAATTCAAGTGGTTAATTGTAAATGTGCTGCTGTTTCCTCCCTATGCAAGTGGAGACCATCTAGAATGTCTCTGAGGACTGGCTGTGCTCCAGAGGCAGCTTTACAGGATATCAGCAGGGGGAGTTCACATGCAGTAAGGTTGCAGGAACTGGTTATGCAGTTCTCCTTTTCTTGCTGCAGTGAGTACTCAGCAAAATCTCTGCAGTCCTCAGAATGTGACCTAAAGTGTGCCTATTTCATAACATCAACTGTGTGCTGTGTAAAGTATCTGAGTCCTTCAGAGTCTAAACACTTTCATCGTCCTTCCACTGACCTTCCTTTAGTTTATCCAATACTACTGACAGAATGGGATGCTTCCCTTCTATCAAAGCTC